GGGAGGGTGGGGAAGGGTCAGTCAGAGATGGCCAGAAGCCAGGAGAACTTTCTAACTCCCCAAGCACCCCCTGAGAAACAGCGGGTCCCCCAGAAGCCACTGTGGCTTCACAGCTGCTTCACATGGTTGGAATACAATAATAGCACAATTCACCTTTGTGTCCACTTGAGTGTCTGAGCTGGAGTGGGGAGCGGGCAGCTTAGGGCTTACAGGGTCATTTTTGCAGATGGGAAGCCAAGGCTCAGCAAGGGGGTGAGAGGTGCCTAAGATCCCACAGGAGTTTGCAGAAGCCCCACCCCTGGGTGCCCCAGCTCCCCACACACCCTCACCCCCCACCTTGAGGTCCCGGTGTACGATGCCCAGGTCGTGCAGGTACTTGACGGCATCCAGCACCTGGAAGATGAGGCGGCTGGCATCCCGCTCTGTGTAGAAGCCTTTTTCCACAATTCGGTCAAACAGCTCCCCGCCCGACACCCTGCATCCGGGAACAGAGCAGTTGCCAAGAGAGCAGGGGAGGCAGAGAGGCCAGGGCGGGGGCAGCGGGGAGAGGTGTGAGGCAGGGGCTGGGCCACTCACAGCTGCATGATGAGGTAGAGGTGTCCCCCGCTCTCGTAGATGTCGTCCAGGGCTACAATGTTGGGGTGCTTGATCCTGAAAGGAGAAGTCAGTTGGTTCAGAGCTGAGGACAGCTCAGCCACCTTCCCACCCTCATCTTGAAGACCATCGCCTGCAAACCTGGGTAGAACAAATCAAGGATCTGGGTCCCAAACGGAAAAGCTGATTTACCATGATTTATTATAGTGTAGCGGGAGCAGGAAGGCACAGAGGTTAACACTGGGCTCCGGCACTGGAGAGACCTGGGTCCTCATCTGCCTGTGCCTCTGCCTCATGCTGGGGGGTGGTGGGGGGCAAGTCTTTTCAGCACCTTATAGCGCTGATCAGTATATGATTTTAACATCTGTGTTTATAAATTTGTCAGCCTCCCTACTGGAACATCATCCTCATGAGACCGGGAGCCTTAACCTGCTCACCACTGTTCCTCCAGCACCGGGTGCAGAGAAACTGCTCACCAGTAGTCACTGAATTGAGTGTAACCCCTCTAAGCCTCAGTGTCTTCATCTGTAATATGAAGTCAATGAGAGTACTTCTCTCAGAGTGCTGGGGTGAGGATCACTTGAGAAAATGCAGGTAAGAATCTTGGCACAGTGTCTGGCACACAGTAACCACTCAGTAAATGAACCAGTGATGGTGACTGAGTTTGATGGAAGATCTGGCTTTGCCACAGACTTGCTGTGTGACCTTGGGCAAGTTAAGTCCGCTGCCCTCTCTGGGCCTCAATCTTCGTGACCAATAGTAGAAATGATTATTTCATCCCTGCCCAGGGTGGTTGGAAAGCTCAGGGGAGAGGCTGGAAGTGAAGATTGTATATAAGCTTTACAGCGAGGGCAGCAGGTTTCCCATCAGCATGATCAATTCAGAGACCACGTGGTTGTTGATTGAGTAAGGGCGCCAGCAGACAGGCATTTTTAAACTTGCTGAGTGTTTTAATATGTGGGGAGAACGTGAGGTAGATCTAGAGACAACATCAGTTGAGATAAATGGGTTCAAGATATGGTCAAGGATTGACTTTTAGATCTGATTGGACTTTAAATTACGGTAAATAAGCAGTGGCATCTCAGTCACATCTGTCATGTTAGCTGCTGTGCCAGGCACTTGAAATAAAGGACCTCTAATGCGCTCTACACCCCTACCAAGTGGAGATTATGACCCCATTTTACACACGAGCAATTTGAGGCTCAGAGAGGTTAGATGATTGGCCCAAAGCACAGGTAGGAGGAGAACGGGAGGGGTTAAGATAGGGACAGGACATGGGCCACGCACTTGTGCAGGACAGCGATCTCATTCTCCATGCTGCCCTCCTTGCCCTCCAGAGCCTTCTTGGCGATACATTTGATGGCCACCAGCTTCTGAGTCCTCTTGTCTTCTGCCAGGATCACCTCCGAGAAGGCCCCTCTGCAAGGAAAGGGATTCTTGAGGTGGGAAACTGGGACCTCAGCTTCCCTCCAGCCTCTCCTCCATCCCTCTATGGGTTATGTGACCACCCTCAGACCATGGAGGTGGGGTGCGCCTCCTTCCCTGACTCATTCACCAGCCTGGTGTCAGAAGTGACCCAGCCTAGCCAATCAGAGTAGTCTATCCCCTGGCCACAGTAATTGGGTCCTGTGATGTAAGCCAGGTTACTGGCACTTTGAGAATGAGGTAGGTGCTCTTTCCTGCTAAGCTACTAGGATGTAAACCTGGAGCATCTTTGCTATCACTGGGGGAGACCCTGCTTGAGAATGAAGCCAACACAAAGGAAATCAGAGCTGAGAAACAGTCAAAGACAATTTCCTGATAACATCATGTGAGCCCCTGGATTCAGCTGTTCCTAAAGTTTACCCACTAGGCTTTTTATTATGTGCATGACAGATTCATTCCTTTCTCTGCAAAAGCCAATTTGAGTCATGGCTTATTTAACACCCTTTAGAACAATGAAGAACCATCAACATCACCTGGGAACTATTTAGAAGTGTGGAGTCTCAGGCACCACCCACCCTAGACATATTAAATCAGAATCTGCCTTTTAACAAGATCCTCTGGTGTATGCTCACTGAAGTTTGAGAAGTGCTTCTAACAGGCTCTTAGAAAGGAACAAACACACTCACTTGCATTAAAGTTCACTGATTAAGAAGGGTTTACTAGAGTATTCTTTCAAGGACTCTTTGCTTTCCCTGGGTTAAGAAGTCATAAAGAAAATCATCTGTCATGGTGAAATCTCAATCATCAGAATAACTAGTGACTGTAATAGCCTCACTGCTGATTTCTGGTCTTGTCCATCTCCAACTGAATTGAAAATCTGCCAAAAAGTCTTAAATGTCTTCCTATGGCTTGTAGGATTAAGTCCAAGTCCAGTCTCCTTAGCTTGGCTTTCAAGGCCTTGTATGACCAGGTTTCTCTCTCTTCTCAGCCTCTTCTTTCACACTTCTCCCAGCCTCTGATTACAAGCTCCACCAGACTTTACCTCTTTCCGCACATAACATGCCTCTGAGCCTTTGCTTATGCTATTCCTTCTGCCTGGAATGCCTTCTCCCTCTCTGACAAGTGCACTCCTACCCATCCTTCAGTCCCCAGCTCTAATGGCCCCTTCTCCAGAAAGTTTTTCCCCACACAGAAGCCACTGCTGTCTCTGGGCTCAACAAAGTCCACATTCCCGACTTAAGCTGGAACACAGCTCACACCCTGTTGTCATTTTCCATGCGTCTGTCTCCCTCACGTGTTTGGGATCAACTTGAGGGGCAGAGATCAGGTTTGAGTCATTTCTGGATTCCTACAGCTGAGAAAAGAGCCATGCCCAGCTTCAGTTCCAAAACCTAGGCCAGAAACCCCAGTTCTTGGCAACAAGTTTCAAAAACTGGCTCCTTCATTCACTTCTACTTTCTTCTCTTCACAGGAACCCAGAGCCGTGGCAAGAGCAGCTCCTGTTCCACCCCTTATCAGCCAGAAGTGAAAAGCCAGGGCCAGTCAGGCCATGCAGGGCCACCACGGGGCCTGGAAACAGGAAGCAGTGATCAACTGACCAGAGGAAGTACCACCCTGGACTCAGCCACCCCAGCCATCCAGGCCCAGGAGTGAGGCCCTTCCCCACCCCTAGCCCCGCCCCAACCCACCAGCTCAGGGACGATTCCCTCTTTGCTCCTGCCCTGAGACTCACGTTCCCAGAACATCACGGAAGTCGTAAATGTCCCTAATGTCCTCCGCCTGCTTCCAGATGGGGCCTTCCACTGTCCCTGGCATGGCCCACTGCCCCCTGGCCACAGCCAGGGCTCCTGGGAAGGGGAATGGAAGAAGGCTCAGTGGGGCCCAGCCTTATTCGTGGGAACTCGCTGGGGGCCCCGTTCGGCCATTCAGCCCACATGTATTCACTCCTTGATTCATTCATTTGACAAAAATCATTCAACAAACATTCATTCACTCACTAGTCATTTCTTCACTCAGCAACATCCATTCAGCATAACCTTATCCATAGAGGAAAATCCTTCCGGGTGGCAGCAAAATTCTTTACTCAACAAAGTCACTCATTCATTCATTTATTCAGCTCACCTTCCAGTTTCTCCCTCTCCAAATCCAAACACTCGGGGGACACTGACCTCTGGAAGGCCAGCAGAGAAGACCCCAGAGCAGCTTGTAGAAACACACAGTCCTGAAGGATCCCCCCCGTCCCCAGAACTAGCGATGTCCCAGCCCCACCCTGGGTATCGCAGGGGTGTTCTCCTCTCCCTCCTCCTGCCTGCCAGGCCTCTCGGAAATCAGGTTTCCGGCAGCCTAGCCTTCCAGCAATAACTCAGCCACGTTTTTAAATAGCTCCTTCTGCACTGTTACCACAGCAACAGCAGCCACAGCTGGAGCTCCCCAGGCCTCCTGTTACCCCCTCTCCCTCCTGACTCCCCATCTGGGTCCCAGCAGCCTAAGAAATGGTCCTGCCCAACCTGTCCCCTCCTGGCTTCATCTCACCCTGATCCGGCCTGTACTTCTCTCCGTTGAGACCTCTTTCAACCAGCAGTAGAGGGTGAGATTTCTCTCCCCAGTTATCGGATGGAGAATGGGGAGACTGAGGGCGGCCATGGATAGGGTCTGGGTCCAGAGTTGCCCAGTGACACCCTAGCTAAGCTTGCTGAAGGCAAAGGCCTTGGAGGAGGCTGCCCTTAGTTGGTCCTTCCAATATACAGACTGGGACCCATCCAGAGAACAGCCTCTCAGCCCCATCCCAGGCTCGCAGAAAGAGGCCAAAACAGAGCCCAGCGT